AGTGGCATCAACACAGGGATAATATCAAGATCATGAGAAGTGATAGTGCTGCTTTGTACTCCACTAGTGAGATCACATTTGGAATACTGTATCTAATTTTGGTCACTATCCAATACACTATATATATATCGGGATCCGAGAATGTCTAGTCTAACGAAGAGAAGGACTAGAGATGAAATGATAAGAAGTCTTCCAGTATTTGAGGGGTTGTCACAGATAGGAGGGAGTCAAACTATTCTCCAAAGCACCTGAGAGCAGGACAAGATGTAATGAATAAAAGCTTAACAAAGAGAGAGCCAACATAGAATTAAGGAGAAATTTTCTGTTGGCGGGAATAATTAATCAGTAGAACGGTTTGCTTTCAAAAATTATGGATGCTCCATCACTGGAGGTTTTTAAGATGAGATTGGACAATCGTTGGTTTGAAATAGTATAGGGTCTCCTGTTTGAGCATAGGGCTGGACTAGAAGACCTCCAAGGTCTCTTCCACCTTTGTTATTCTGTAATTCTGAATAATATTTGATAAACCTCATAAACACATATGATATTTTTATATATTCAGAAAAGGGGGTTTAAGTTTTTTGCTTTCATAATTTGATAATACAAGGAATTTGCATAAGGAACTTCCAGAGGCAGGTTTTTGGAATTAATATAGACTCAAAATGTGTGTGTTTTAAACACATACAAGTCTCAGTGTTCTGGCAAACAAAAGGGAAGTTTCACTATGTCAAGTTTAAAAAAATCCCACATGAGTGCAGTTAAATAGTGTTACATGTAGCTGAGCCCTTCCTTTCTACTAAATATTATTGATGGATATATAATTATTTATTAACAGGGAATGCAAATAACTGAATTGAAAAATCAGGTCAGACTGCTAAATTTGGTTAATGAAAGTACAATTTAAGTAAACATTGTATAAAGTATTTTACTGTATTATGTCATGTTAGAAATATCACAACACAAATATGGATGCCTACAGCAAACTGCAATGACATCAAAATGATGATACACATGTAGTGAAGTCATGAGAAAAAAGTCACTATTATGCACTGGAGTTCTGACACCTGACATAGTATGTCACTCACAGTTTTGAATCATGTTGTTGTGATGGTTGTTTCAGCACTTCCATCCTCCCAGCCTTACCCTTTCCTACTTCGTTAGCTCCTCCAGATGCTATGGGGGCATTTAGGATGCACTGAATTGGTAGATGTTTGTTTAAAGACTTGGATCAGATATGCCACTAGACAGATCTGATCTATAGCTTCTTAAGACCATACATATGTTTCCCAATTCAGTTTTACTAATTAAGACAACCATCTTCATTATTCCGCCTATGCCAATAAGAAAGAACTAGCAAGTGAATTATGTGTTCAGAATTTTTATCCCCAAATGCAAAATGAAATCCAGAAATGATTCAATTATTCAAGGAACAAATTGTTTAAGTAATATGCCAACATCCAAAAAATGGTCTGCATTTTACAAAATGGTGCACTTTGCTTTAATAAATATTAGAGAAGGATGCAGTCAAATGTGGACCAGAGAAAAATAACAGCAGTCCACCTTGTATCCAGAAAGACAATGAATATATTATCTGGGAAATGTTCCACATATTTTAGGTAGATACATACAATGCACAGTATATGTCCCAGCAGTTAAAAAAATGTGGTATCGCTGCAACTAAAACTCCATCTGAGCAACAGAGTGTCTGGTTAACTACAAAATGATCTCAAAAATTCTCAGGCAGGAAGCACCATATCAAAATGAAATAATTGGTGTGAGCTTTACAGAAGCCATAGTCTGCTTTGGCCCATGATTATCCTCTATATTAATTCTCTTCAGCCCTTGGGTCTTCAGGCTGAGTTGCCTTAATCAGTAGCCTAACTAGGTTTCTGCTGAATCAGGTCCTGGCAGATTGTGCAACTAGTGAGCAGTGTAATCCCTAACAGAACAGGTCTCCTTCAAGAAGAGCACTACCAGGATTAAGATTTGCTGAGAAGCAGTATCTAAAAACTGACCTCTTTCTATCTACTCCAGTTTTTCAGGTCAAAGCTAAATATATAGTGTAATCGCCAGGAGCTGTGGATACATTAATTTACACAAATAAATCAATAATTGTGCTGGAAATCATATAACAAGCAAAAAGGATATTGAAGCTACAAATTGTCCTCCTGTAACCTTTGTCTGTTAAAGAATGCAGATTTTCCCTGTATCCCCTATGAGCATTTGCTCAGGAAACAGAAACAACACAGTAACAACAAAGTAGATATGTTTGCACAGTTTTGTTCCCACTTCCTGTTCATCCTAGTGACATTAGAAAATGGAACTCATAGATTTCCTTTTTAGTCCAAAATATATGTTTCCCCTTCCATGTATTGAAAGCAACAACAGAAAGAGACATTTTGTTATTCATGACATGCTAAAGAAGAGTGAATTGCTCCTGTGCCATTCAGCAGACAAAGATCCGTTACAGTTTACAATTGCGCTACATGAATAATTTTGTCCCCACTTTGTGTCCATCTTAGTTCTCCCTACTTACCTGGGATGTGCTTTGCCCAGCCAATGATCACAACAAGTTCTCTATCTGCCAAGTCACAGAGCGTTGTCAACGCTTTGATGTCACTTTCCGGCATGGTAGGGTCAGGCATAGCATAAATCTTCTCTGGCTCTGCCACCAGCAAGTGGGAGACTATTTTAGTCACTGCAAATCCCAAATCAGAAATTAGAATATACTTGTGATGAACTCACGCAACTGGGGGAAAAAAATCTTTACAAAAGAGAGAGCAAGACTTTTTTTTCTTCCTCTTTTTGTTTTGGATACGTTATTTGAAATGTATTAGAAGTATACTACTTTTTATCTTGACCCAGCAGCTCACTGGTCAATTCTTCACCTGATATTGCGCACTTTTAAAATGGAAATACAATCATGCTGAACCTGTAAAATTAAGCAGGCAAATTATATATCCTACCACCAAGTTGTGACCCTTTCCTGATTCTCGCATATCTTTACTCACGTTAATGTATTTACTTATAAAATGTTTTAACCACCCATCTTAATTTAGGATAACTCTTGATAGATTTAAGGTAGTTACCAATATCAAGTTCCATTTCTGAAAATGGTGAATATTGTAACTAATCAGTGTTATATTGAAATGAGCAATTTTTATGTGAAATGCATTAGATTCTGTTACTACATGCACACAGAACATAACTCTTCTGATCTTGTTGAGTCTATTAATTACAGACACTGCAGAAGCAACATATATTTTCTAATGTTCTCTAATGAGAACAACGCCCCCATCCCAAAGGGGGCCTTTTTTTCTGTATATTTTCTGTACATATATAATTTCAAGATAAACCAAGAAATTGTTAAGAGGACGCATTAAATTAGGGATGGGCAACATTTGGCGGTCAGGAATAGCATTAATTTGGAAGTGAGAAGGGAGAGAATTGGGAGGTAGGAAGGGATCAGTAGTTTGAATCATCTTACATATATAGATTGAAATTTTAAAAATGGGCAGTTTTTTAAATGTTTACTTTAATTATATTAAGCTTATTTTAGACCACTTATTCACAATTTNAGCAACATCTAACTTTAAGAAGTCAAACATGATTTGATTGGAAGCCACCCAAAGTTGGCTGAAAAATGGGCAGCTGTATAAATCTTTAAAATAAATAAACAAACATTAAATCACTACGGAATCCCAAATGCTGTAACTGTATTTTCAGGCCAAGGGGAAAAATAACTGCCCTAAAGACAGGCACACTGAATTAACTGTCAAAGTAAAAAGGTAAAACACAAACAAAAAGTAACAACCTGTAACTAAGTCCATCAGAACCAGTTAAGTCTAATGGGTGAGAACAAATGTGATCACAAATAAAATTCTCATCTGTTTTCCAACTGCAGATCTGCGAAAAACCAAAGCTGGAAAAGGAACTATTCTGTCAATGAAAACACAAAGCTGAGCATTCTAGCAAGTGTGGGAGAGGAAGCAGGGAGATTTTGTAGTATAAAGGACAAGGAAGTGTAAAAATAAACTTATCTCTCAATATTGCAATTTAAAATTAAAAGTGTTAAGAAATTTACACCAGTGTCAGTAATGATTGCATTCTGAGATAAAATGACATTACAATTATAATGATACTCAAGAGAGTGTCATACTATTTTCATTCTTGCAATATGAATATGTTTGCTTGTGGGATACTCTTTCAAAATGATTGAGAATAGGCAAGAGTCCTTGTATAAAAATTTTCCCTCCTTGCTAGTGATAGGAAAACAGAAGCTACAAACATTATTGACAACTGCAGCCACGCCCCAATATTACAGCCATGTACCTCACAATATATTAAAATACCATCTCCAAATTTGTGCCTTTCAGAATATTAGAATTGTATCTCCTAACACTTCTGAAGGTACCGATTTGGGGAAGAGAGTTCAAAACTTGGATGTATTGTGTGAAGATTTGGTTAAATAAAAAACATACATGTTTCTTCTATAGAGGACACTTCAATTTCATCACTTGGTACCAAATTGTATATAAAAATAAAAAAGTATGAACAGTTTGGCCTATTTTTTTCCCATGTGTCTTATGCGATTATTCTCCTCCTATTCTCCTCTTCTTATTTTAGTCTATCTGCTTTCACTGTTAGCCTGGAGTTCTTTCTTATGACTTACTGATGTGCATGTCTCACAAACTGTGATATATCCTTATCCAGAAGCCTTTATTCCCCCAAAAATCCCCTCAGCTCATGCAGTTATGTGTGCCTTCCTGCACTTGGACCAAGGGGGCCAGGATGTTTTGATTCCTCTTGCTATCAACCTGGCAATTAACAAAAGAGCCAGTGATTGCTATATTGACTGGTCAGGAGTTCTATTTTTCTATCTCGGCTATCTTCGCTAAAGGAAGAGAGGGCAGAGGGATGGGTCAGTGGCATTTATTTATCACTATACCCTGTTTTGTATTTGTGTTGCCAAAGGAGGTAAGGGGTGATAATGGCATAGCAGTCCTTAGACATCCAATTTCCCTTATCGGGCCACTGAATAGAAAAGAGGCCGCAAGCCACATTAATTAACAGATACCAATCAGCTGTCACATGTTGTATGTGCGTGTATGAAGTCTGACGGGTAAGAGGTATGGATCAATAAAGCACTGGAGAAGAGGGCAAGAAGAAATTAGAGGACAGCTGAAGAGGAATCTGGGGCACTCTGGAGATGAAATACAAATTTGATCTTTGTTTGGCAAATGTGGAAAGATGCTCGACTTGACAGAACTGGGCTGCTGTGCCCTGGTGACCACAGACTTTTGCTCTGTCCTCTATGCCTGAGCAACAACCACCAAACAATCAGTCATGGCTGAGTAAAGAAGTTTTTTGACTGTTACACTACCTTTAAGGTAAAGGTTCCCCTTGCACATATGTGCAAGTTGTTCCTGACACTAGGGAGCAGTGCTCATCTCCATTTCAAAACCAAAGAACCAGCACTGTCCAAAGACATCTTGTGGTCATGTGGCTGGCATGACATAACACCAAAGGCGCATGGAACACTGTTACCTTCCCCCCAAAATGGTCCCTATTTTTCTATATTTTTACATGCTTTCAAACTGCTAGGCTGGGAGAAGCTGAGACGAGTAAAAGGAGCTCACTCCATTATGTGGCGCTAGGGATTCAAACCGCCAAACTGCCAACCTTTCTGATCGACAAGCTCATTTACTTATTAATAAAATTCACCTAGTAACAAAATAATGTTCCTAAAGCTTTACATTTATTGGATACAAATATACAAAGTACAGAGATTATTTTAATGTCCGTGCTTCAAAAGAAGATCTAATTTCAACAGTACAATTAAGACATGAAGATTGCCCACCATTTTAACGCATTAAAGACATTAAATCTACTCTGAGTCAGCAAAGAACTCAAAATCTGAAGAGGAAATCTAAAATGAAATATTTGGTGCCAACCATATAGAAAGGTCTTCAATCAGGTAAGGATGACAATATATCAGTTTTTTAATTCAGGTTCTGTTCTCATTTTGACAGGTACAGTTAAACATTTTAACTGTGCACTTTGTGCTTGGAGCTTGTATTAAGATATTCATCAGACAGTCTAGCTTGTTTTTCACTCATTTGTGTGACAACCCTTGATGAATTGTCTCAACATTGCTTTATTTAACAGTACATACAACTTCAGATTTTGGCTGTAGGATTCTCCAGTTCTAACTAGAGTGGATGGTTAAAACTTATTTTTCAGGTTCAGTTCTGTCATCTAGCATTTATATTTACACAATCTTGTCACCTCAACTAATATTATTAAGTATTTTACATGAGCATCTGATGTCACTTTTCTTTCCTTAGTTAACAATAAGAAGAAATAAGTGTTTATTCCTCACTGATCAAACATGGCATTCATAATTTCTACTTCTCTAGTGCTCTTGATTGACTCTCAAAGTCAACAGGTGCCTATTAGACTCCTGTTGAAAACTGATTCCTTCATGCAGGCCTTCATTGAAAGTTTATTGTGGAGGAATGATTTTTATTTGTTCGGTCTGCATTCCTTTCCCCACATTTTAATGAAAGTTCTATTGGCACTGCTTTATTTCATTTTTATTGTTGCATTTTAGTATTTTTAAATACTAGTAAGTATTTCTGATCATTTTATTTTGATACAACATTGAATGAAGAATAAATTTGTAATGCATTGCATTTTTTCTGAGACTCCACTGTAGTGATTTCATTTCCCATTTGAAGAGGAAACATTGTTTAATTCCCATAATTAAATATAAGAAAAGAAACTGAAAACAAATGTCCAATGTTGCATTTTATAAAATCTTGACTTAATAGGTTGCTTAAGGGGAAATAAATGTCCATTAAATGCAAATGTCTGTTAAATCCAAATTTGTAATCATTGACATAATTACAGAATTGACATTTGTATATTTGTGTCAGGAAGAGTGATTTAGATGATGTAAACATGTGATTTTCATAATTACAAAAATGTCATTAATTGACACAAATGACTTACATTATGTAAATTGTCCAGTTCTTCAGAAGCAACACCTGTTGTCTACTGTAGTATTTTTTTTTTTGCTATTGCATCAAGGGTATGCTTAATGGAGGATTAAGAGAATTAAGAGTTTACTGTATATGAATCTTTGCTACAATTCATGTTCAAGAATGCAAATCAGGGTTGATCTGATTCAAATTAATAAATTGATTTGTAAAGTTGAACCAACATGATTTGGACTTTTGTTTTTGAAAAATCAATCCACTCATATGTTAATTTTTGAATTGATTTGGAAAACTGAACTGATTTGGACTTTAAAAATGATGCATAAAAAGTGTGCTTTTGCCCATAAACAAAAATCTTTCAAATTTCTAACTAATCTTTATATCTTTCCAAATCCATTTGGAAATGCAATCATTTTATGCTTTAAATCAGCTCATATATTCAACCTGAAAATTTAAAAAAATATTTTGGCAGATTAGAAACTAAAGAACTTTAGCCTTAGTACAATATTCAGATGGAGAACTGCCAGGAAATTCCAGGTTTGTAGATTGGATTGGGAAGTTCAAACAAGAAAAAAAGGTATTGTACAATGGCCAACTACTTCCATGCCACTGCCAAGAAAATGCATAAATGTAGTCACCAAGAATCAAGTTTGACTTGAGGGTTTCATTTTTTAAAAGTTTATCATTCTAAATTAGAATATTTTTATTAGAAAGAAAGATTCAGTTGACTAATTTGTTATGTTTTAAAAAGAAGATTGTAGGTGAATCATTAGCTTAAAGTTCAGGACATATAAAAGAAAAGATGATGAGAAAGATTTCATGCATGGATAATCAAATTTATGAAGATTATAGCAAATTGGTATCATTTAAAAATGATAGAAACATTTGTTCTATTAATAAGTCTTAGACAAGACACCTGATAGGGTTTCATATTCAGTGACAGAATGTCACCAGTAAGATGTAAGATAGGGCCAAATAGTAGATATCTGTGTATACTAAGATTGGTTTGTAAAAATCATAAAGGTATCTCATGAAACTATTTGAAATGAAAGACAAGAATCAGATACAGAGTTCAAAACGGGAGCCAGGAAAATCAGTTTTGCCCAAGCTGTGGTTCAAAATCTTCAGAGACACACCAAGTTGGACCATTTCTTTTCTCAATCTTTTTCACAGGAAATGGCTTGTATTTTTGGATATTAAGACTTATTAATCGAACAAATGTTTCTATCATTTTTAAATGATACCAATTTGATTATCCATGCATGAAATCTTTCTCATCATCTTTTCTTTTATATGTCCTGAACTTTAAGCTAATGATTCACCTACAATCTTCTTTTTAAAACATAATAAATTAGTCAACTGAATCTTTCTTTCTAATAAAATGTTCTAATTTAGAATGATAAACTTTAAAAAAATGAAGCCCTCAAGTCAAACTTGATTCTTGGTGACTACATCTATGCATTTTCTTGGCTG